AGTATTAATTAGATTTCTAACTTTATTAAGTAATAATTAGAGCTCTATATATACTAGGTTTAGAAATATAACTATTAGAAAGCTAAATATAAAGATCTAAAGATTATTATATCTTAGTTTAATCTTATATATAATTTAAAGATAAAATATAATATTCTAGATAAGAATTTATATAATTTTAATAAAACTAGCTTTATAATAGATATTATCTTTCCTAGAATAGTAGTTATAATCTCAGAGAGTTATATAAAAATTAAGCTAGTTTAATCTAATAACTAGAAATAGATAATTATAATCTAAAGAGTAAATATAGCTAGCTAGATTATTCCTTCTTTTATTATTCTAACTATCTAATATTACCTTAAGAACTAATATTAGAAATATAATCTACTATATAACTAATAGCTTATAATAATTAAAAATAATTAAACTACTAATAAAATTAATCTAGATTAGATTAAGTACTTTAACTCTTATATAGCTCTTTATATAAAGAAGATATATTAAATACTAATTCTTAATAGCTATAAGAGCTACTATTTAGCTAACTTTAAGATCTACTATTAAGAGTAGAAGATTATTATAATCTATATATCTTCTTACTCTTCCTATCTTCTTTAGCTACTAGATATTAGCTATTTTAAACTACTTAAATAGTTATATAGATAAGAGATTAAGAATCTAATATAGATATATATTATCTATATTAATAAGTTTAAATTTCTCTCTACTTTTTATATAGTTTTTTTCTATTTCTTTATAGAGAAGAATATCTAAATAAGCTTTATTAGATCTAGCCTAATACTATATAATCTAGAGAGAGTTCTTTTAAAGCTAGATATAGTACTATAAATACTAATACTACTAGAGATTCTATCTAAGATAAAATAGTTCTAGATTCTAAAGATACTATAGACTATATATAAGATAAGTATATAATCTAAGTATATTAAATTTTAAATCTTAGCTTATTAAAATAACTCTTTAATCTCTATACTAGCTATAGTAGATTAATTTATAAAGAGGATAATTATAATAATATACTAAATAGTTTTTTTATATATTAAGATTTATAATCTTTATATAGTAAATAAAATACTAAGTAAGTATTAAAAAGCTAAAAAAAACTATATATAGTTTAGAGGGTTCCTAATTATATAGAATAGAATAGATCTATTAGATTAGAAGAATATAAATAAGTAGCTAAGAGGAGAAGACTATAGAAGTAGTAGTTAGAGAGAGTAGGTTTATATAAAGACTTTATAATATAGTAATTATAGAAAGCCTAATTATAATATCTAAACCTATAGGAAGACTAGAAAGAAATCTAATAAATTAATTTCTAGTATTATTATTATAAATAATTAGTTATTATTATTTTAATTAACTTTATTATATAAGGGATAGATAGAAGTAATTAGTTTACTTATATAATCAGCTTACTTATAGATTATATTATAGAGTTTAAGGTATACTAATGTTTTATTTGTTCAGTTATATTATCTACTGCTGGCCTGTCAGTTAGTAATGAATGGACAGGAGAGCAGTATGCCGATCTCAGTTCAGGGCATGGTGTGTGAGGCAGTGTCAGTCTTGAAGTCTTATAGGTTCATCAGATATATTATTACCATTAAAGATTAAAGTAGAGTTATTACTAGTTAGAGGCTAAAGCTAACCTTAAACTTATATTTTGAATATTCATCATTATAACTACTAAGCTAAAAAGAGTTTATGGATATAAAAACTACTAAATCTTTCTTCAAGTATATTCTGCTGATATTAGATCTAGCATCTACTAGTACTATCCTTTACTGCGTGAGTTTACCTGAAGTTACTCGAACTTTTTCACACTACCTAATTGCTTTGTTTTGGGCTAGTTAAATGGCTGGTATAAAGAGGAGCAGGATTGCGGGTGCGGGCGCAGCATGAATGGGTCACATAGAGCTGTCCTAACATTTGTTTCACACCAAGAACATTACGCAAAATGTTGAGCAAGATTTTCATTGCCTAGAGATCCTCGAGAACCGCATCGAATAGCTTTAGTAGGTTCGTTATTGATATCTCGCTCAGATTCCCCTTCTCCATACAAACACGAATTTATTGCCGCTTTAACAAGTTCCAACTGCTACCGGCAAGCCTTGTGTCTAAATAGCAAGGCTTATTAAACCCTCTGGCAAATGCCCCCAGGTGAGCAATAGGTCCCAGGACAGCAGTAGTGAGACGGGATCTAGGTCGCGAGTCAATATTTGCCCTGCCCAACTGTTTCAACGGCTATGACTATACTTACTAAAGGCGTACGAGTACAGGCCTGGTTCAGCCTGCGGCAATTTTGCGCAAGCCCCTCTCCAGCGAAGACGGCCAGAATAGTAAGGACGATAGCTGCCTTCATTTTGGTGGTAAGTGTTCAGTGGCGGGTATGTCAGGCAATCGATGATCGAAATAAGTTTGTTGAAAATGCAGCAGTGTAGAAGGATGTAAGCTGTAAGATGCAGGAATAATCTAAACTCTGAAAAGGCATGCTGTCGTGCTTTATATACTTTTTAGAAACCCGAGCCAGGACTGATTCCTTACTTCTTGCTCGGCGGTATTTGTCTCTCATTCACATGTATGTCTCAGGCATCGTCCGATTCTGGACCTTGCTGAGGAAAGCAACAGAACGCTCGGTCCGAGACCATGCATATGTGGCGCTCCTCATGACACAACCGGCATGTACTTATGCACTTCTCAGGTGAGTAGAAGCCTACCTACCATTACAAGGGTTCCCCGCCCCGTTCTAAAGACGTTGTCGCACAAATATGATCACTGCTTATGTTCACATGACCAAAGCTGCACTAGATAGAACAATTGGTGTGTGGTTTCAAAGTCAACCGCTTCAGGTACTTGTTGATGAACGATGAAGAACGTCAATATTAGTACGGAATGTGTATCCATGCCCAATATTGGTGATTGTGTGCTAAAACAAGTGTCCTAAGATGCCTACTCGCTTTTTGTTCAAGATCAACGTAGTAGTGATATGGGGAAGGTGTTAAATACGAATTACGACTTCAGCTGAGAGAGGCGTTCAAAGGTTCCGTAGGATTCGAAGCAAGACATTCTATGAAGTAAGAATGCGCCTCTCCGCCGTTTCATTGGGAGAGGGACACAGCTCTGCGGGGCCGGCGGCATCACCATCTACCCGCCCGAGACACCCCGGTGGCAATCGTCGGCCAGACCATGACAAAGAAGCAGGGCTTGGCGTTCTTGGCTGCTTTATAACGGGGCGTTGGAGCCTGGGCTGGACTGCGTTGTGGGGAGGACTGCATGTACGCCAGGATCTAGACCCGGAGGTCGCCAATAATGTGGTGGGTTGCAAGTCTATTGGAATCCTATATTGCCCACTTGACGGGCAGGTTAGTGCCCAACTGATTCAGATTTACTTCAACCAATGAGCATGTTTATCATCTTGGCTTCTGAAACAATATCCATCAAGTGATTGGCCGCTTCTGGCCAAAGGAGATACGAACAGAAAGCAGGAAACAGTGGGAAGCAAGACGTTACGATGACTTTCTTGACTGATTGCCCTATAGAAATCCTTCCTCATTATTCTAACGCTCCCCTCGGGCAATATATGCCAGCTTCGCTTTATCTCAGACCATTCGTTTGTATTGGTGCGGAGTCGACCACTTCCTCCACCGCGTGTATAAAGAAAGGGTAAGACATTATAGTGTTCAAAAAGCCGTTGGACTGTTTCTCCATGCCGTCAATTGCGACCCATTAGACTTTGATTCACTAGATTACTTTTACTGGCCGCTCCTTTTATTTCTCCAGATACCAACTATTCGCTTGCCCTCCTTGTTGGGACTTATTAGCCTTCTATCCGGCTTAGGTCTATGCTACTTCTCGCTACAAATTTCATATCCCTCGTATATAGTTCTTTAGAATTCTTTAACATCGAGGACTGGAGATAATTTTTTTCCCCACAAATACCATGTACGACTCATGAATGTTGAGAATCTCTCCACGGAAATGTGACATTAGATAGAATAAGTCGATTTAACGGCTGGCTTTTTGAGCATGCTCTAGCATAATAATATGATATAGGGTAATTTCTTTCTTCTTTTTTTTGATAACATATACCGATTTAAACTCTCTAAAACGAGCTAAATAGTTAAAATAGCTTAATTTCGCAGGCAGCTTGGGTAATATATAAATTGTTTGTTTGTACATAAATATATCAATTGAAAACAAGATAAACGCTATATCAACCCACTGCCTTGGCAATGATGCTCAATTATACAGCTATCGAGCCAAAGGGTCCCTCGGTGCTTCTACCAAACCGTGGGGTTTCCGGACTTGAGGTGAGGAAACAAGCTGGTAGTGCCGTTCAGCTTGATCTGGATAGCCTGAGCGAACGCCTTGGCGCTGAAATCAGCACCGGCAGCGTCGGTGTGCTTGTGGTCCTGAGGGTAGAATGCGTTAGTTCCAGAGTTGCCGAGCTTCTTGTAGCCCTTGACGACGGCCTCGTAGTGGTCCACAAAGGTGACTGCAGGGTCGGCCAGCGCGTCACGGGCTGTGACTTGGAACCCAATGAAGCGGTCGTAGCCGGTCTGGAAGCTGCCGGTGATCCAGAGGTTGTTGGGCGTGTGCGAGCTCAGCACCACCGTGGCGCCCTTGGCAGTGAACAGCTTGGCGGCCTGGATCACGTAGAAGACAAAGGTGTACACCTTCTCGCCCGTCTTGCCCGACGTGCAGACCTCGGTGCCGGAGCCGCCGCAGACCGAGCGGCCGTTGTCGTCGGCGCCGTTGGGGCTGCCGACGTCGTTGTGGCCAAACTCGATGACAACAACGTCGCCGGCCTTGACCAGGTTGGCAACCTCGGTGAAGCGGCCCTCGTTGGTGAAGGAGCGCGAGGAGCGGCCGCCGATGGCCTTGTTGACGACGGGGATGTTGACGTACTTGGAAATGTGCTGGCCCCAGCCGTCGATGACGCCGTTGCCTCTAGCCATGGTACTGTCGCCGCAGAGGTACAGCGTTGGCGCCAGTTCAGCAACCTCTGCGGGTTCTGCGACGGGAGAGGCCAGAGAGAGGGAGCCGAGACCCAAGACCAGGAGGCGGCTGAAGAACTTCATGATGGACGGCGGAACTGATGCAGAGTGAGAATCGGAAACCGGGTTACCTGCCACGCTATGAAAATGGAGGGTATTTCCAGGCACATATATGCTGTTTCTCATACCATCAGCTCCGTAGGACCAAGACTAATTTACCCAGCCGGCCGGCCTTATTCGACCCGGAGCAGCCTCGCATTATCTCAACTTAGCCCGGAGACGCCAATCCGTTCGACTAATTGATACTTTTCCAGCCCATATGTTGCCATTTCCGCCAGTAAAGACGCAAGGGGGCTGCTGGATCTACCACCCCCTGTAGCATCTAAATTAGCAGCTCATCTGACCATAAAGCAAGCTTATTTGTTCGCTTATTTGCACTCCCGTCCCGCCGGAGGGGGCTGGGCCTGCATAGGGCTGTTTCGGTATAAATGAGAGGATCACCTGCAAGATATGGTTATTCTCGCTGCATCTAGCGCGGCAGTTGGTGAGCTGGCCTGAGACCCCGCAGTTTGCTTGATCGGAAAAGGAGCTGAGGGAGAGAGGATTGAGGCAGTTGCCAAGGTAGAGCATGTCACCGTGATCTTGGCAAGGTGTGAGCATCGTATTGAGTGGATCTCGTGATTTCGGAGAGTGTGTCCCGAGGATATGTTGGGCGCTTTCAACCAGTCAAGCTTTTGCCTTGAGTCAATTGTCTCTTCAAGTGTAGATCCAGGTCATGATTGAGATGGATATACTTTATTTAGGTAAGTTTTATGAGATCTCGAGGCTAGTTATTGATACTGAGTAAAGTAAAAAAGCTCGTTCACCGACCGATATTCATCGTAATCAGATTCTATGATAAGTGTAATTTTCGACCCTTCTGTCTGAAGGGCTGAATCCACTTAGCCGAAAGAACTTGTCCTCATGATCTCTGTTAGTCCTTAGACGAATGAAGCGTGGCTCGAAGACGGCAATGCACGGAACTATGCATGCCATAGAATGTTCCTTTGAATAGGTCAGACATTGATTTGGTTATGCTTCAGCGAATAGTAGCTTTCAAAGTTAGGTAAACATTTCGAATTGGAGGAACAAGGTTTGGCTACTATTTACTCGGAGCCGAATAGACATGATTCCATGCGCAGCAAATGATGACTCACTCACAACGAATCTCATGGAGAAGAGATTTCCATAAATCATTCGATATATCCATCTCTCTAGATTGAGCGTGGATCCTGTGTCTCGCTTGCCATCGTCCCATGTTCGCACATGTAGGCTGGGCGGAGGCTAGTGTTCCTGAATGCAGCATTGTAAAGGACACTCCCCAGGAGAATGCGAATATCTCTTCTGCATACTTTGCCGGGTTGTGTCCTCGAATCCGCTCTAGCATGTTAAATCGCGCCGACGCTGCCTCGGGTGTAGCCTCGTCAAGAGGAATATGTGACCTCTTCGGGGCTGCGGAAAATATTGGCATAGCAGTTCGGTGGCCTAACATTCATCAGTGTTCTAACCCTTTCCGAGGGATGGGTTGCCGAGGACGCTACTGGGGATCCTATTACTCTGAACGGGCCCTTTTTCTGAGGTTCCAACGTTCTCCTACCAGCCGTCTCGGGCAATGCCCTTAAGGGCTCTACGCCAGTCTTGAAGTCCAATCAGAAGGCCGACCCAGCTGGTACACACACGATCGAAATAGGCGTCTGCGATGCTGGCGACGATGCTCTCGACAGCGCTACATTTGTCCGTATCATCGCATGCACTCAGGCCTGTGCATCTGGAACAGTCAACCTTGGTTGCGAATCGCGGGGCGGTGATACCGACGGTGACGGAATTTACGATGATGTGGACAACTGTCCCTTTGTAAGCAATCCCGGGCAGGAAAACTCGGTTGGCAATGGTGTCGGCGATGCATGTCGTCAGCAGCCGGAGCCGGAGCCAAAGGAGCAAGTCGGGCCTGAAAATGGACCGACTCTTAAGGATAGGACTGGTATTGCTGAAGTTATATCTGTGGCTGAACTGGAAGAGGGAGTTAAGCCTGAAAATAAGATAATTCTTAGGGAGTAAACTGATATTACTAAAATTAACTCTTTAGTTAAATTAGAGAGAATTAAGCTAAAGAATAGAGTAACTCTTAGAGAGAAGATTAGTATTATTAAAATTAATTCTTTAGCTAAATTAGTAGAAATTAAATCTGAAAATAGAATAACTCTTAAGGATCAGATTAGTATTACTAAAGTTATATCTATAGCTAAACTGAAAGAGGGAGTTAAGTCTGAAAATAGGATAACTCTTAGAGAGTAAACTAGTATTACTAAAGTTAACTCTTTAGTTAAATTAGAGGGAGTTAAGCCTGAGAATAGAGTAACTCTTAGAGAGAAGACTAGTATTACTAAAGTTAACTCTTTAGCTGAGTTACTAGAAGTTAAGCCTGAAAATAGAATAACTCTTAAGGATCAGACTGATATTATTAAAGTTATATCTATAGCTGAACTAGAAGAGAGAGTTAAATCTAAAAATAAGATAACTCTTAGGAAGTAAACTAGTATTATTAAAATTAATTCTTTAATTAAATTAGAGAGAATTAAATCTAAAAATAGAGTAACTCTTAGAGAGAAGACTAGTATTACTAAAGTTAATTCTTTAGCTGAGTTAGTAGAAATTAAACCTGAAAATAGAATAATTCTTAAGGATCAGACTAGTCCTCTTGCCCAAGTCAATCCTGTAGCTGAACTCGAGAAGGAAGTCGGGCCCGAAAATGGAGTGTCCCTTGAGAAGATTGACCCTAAGAAAGAAGACGACCTTAAGGTTGATCCAGGGGAGCAAATCAATCCTAAGCCTGAGTTTGGGCCTGATGTCCCATCAGAAGTAACGCCCCCCCCCC